GSATACGAGATGTAACGCTGGATGTGCATTTCAGGGATCGCTCACACAAATTCCCCGCACTGGCGCTAGGGATCAAAGCATTTATCGGCGGAATTGATGTTGTACATGGTATCAACTGCAGATCATCAATTGATCAACTAAGCTTAAGAACGCCATTGCCCACTTTTCCTTCTCTTACCTTCGGATCAGTTCGCAACCTGCATCTTGTTCAGATATCCCATCATGGAGCAGTCTTCACACCGGACTAGTTTCTGAAGGCTCGAGACCTGCTCCTGCAAAGCCTTGGTAGCGTCCAACAAGCGCTCTCGCTCCGTCTCCAGGTCCTTGATATATGTCGCTGCAGTGGAGATGATGACAGCCTTGGACGGCATGCGTGGACCCATGGCCATGGCGTCTTCGGTCTCGACTGGGGTTGGTTGAGCGTTTCGGAGGGAAGGGAGAGTAAGTCGCAGGTACTCAATTTGATTGTTGAGGTTGTCTCGGTACCTCCTTTCCACGAGATTGTGTGGGACCCGTGTCCGGGATTGGGAGATCGACTGCACAGAAGAGCGTCGGCCCTGGTGATGCGAGTCTCTGCCCGCGGCCATGTGGGAGTGCTGCACCGATGACCGACGGCCGCAGCCCGCAGTGGGTGATCGACGGGATTGACGACCGACGTAAGATGAGGCCGAATCGGCGTCGTACGTGTCCTCTGGATCGGTCTTGTTGCACTTTGTGATGGCCAGGAATGAAGGGTTGACGTCGGAGGATGTGGGAGCGCTCTGGCGACGGTTCGAGGGTCCATCCACCTGGCTGATGTCCGGCGTGCACGGATGCTGTGCGCTGTGAACCGGGAAGCTGTCCTGATCCCAGTCGCCACGGGGCTGTCCCGCAAATCGAGCATCCGCAATGTTGTCGTCCTCGTGCAAGGGCCGCAATGGACTGTATGGCGATATTGGTGTTGGCGGAAGGCTGGGCAGGCCATGTTGTGGCGATGAGTTCCAGTCCAAACCTCCTGCTGCTGTGCTGTGCAGTTCGATCGCATGTGACAACTGCTGTGCTTGTTCTTGATGATGGTGGAGAGCTGTTTGCCACGGTCAGCAGAGTGGATTCTGAGCAAAGACTTGCATACGTACACGTCGGGATTTGCTGGTGGTGTAATGGAGTGGGATGCTCGTATTCTGCCCCGCGATGATGATGGTGATGATGATATTGTTGGACCTCTTCACCACCACGAAAGCCATTGTTCCACTCCATCACGAGAGAATCCGGAGACATCTCTGAGGAAGGGTACAAGGGATCTCCGTTGTACATGTTTGATCTCCACGTGGCCATTGCGATGGGTTGACATACAATGGACGAGTATCTCGCTGTTATGAATGGACGATGCTGCAATATCGATGAGTGAGGCTTTCAGTGGTGCTGCTTTGGAGTCTTCGAAGTGAGTGACGATTGTGAACACATTGTCGATGAAGAGCAGGCCGCAGCTCCATCATATAACCCGGCGGCAAACAGATCTTGCTAGTGGTTATCTTCGTGTCAGTCCTTTAGTGGCATGAATTCTCCTAATCGCAACCTCGTCTCTTCAAAGCACTTCATTCGCGACTTGAGACCCGCGACGAGAGTTTGGCTGCGGATGTGCATGGATATCCAGGTCTTCGCAGACGACCCTGGGCATCGCAGGGACAAGCATTGGGATCCAGTGAAAATCTGGAGTATGAAAATAGAGACTAAGACTAGCGTGGAATGGAGGGAGCTAGCCAGTCCGGCAAGTGATTGAGCATCTGCCATAGCGAGATTAGTCCACTGCTAATTTTGCTAGCATGAGGTGATCAGATCGACCTCCTGGCATGTGTTCAATCTTCGGCGGATATCAGACAGCCTCGTGGCACTTTGCCGGTCTCAGGAACCTTGAAAGATCCCATATTTTGCCGAGAGCTTCGCGTCGGGCTTGCCGCTCCCGACATGAGGCGTAGTGTTCCATTCTGAGCACAGTGTACACCGTCCTGACGCACCGGACGGGACTACGCGGCCTGAGCAAGCTTCTCGACCAATTATCAAGTCGAGAGCGCCATGTCCAGAGCATCGGCCCGCTCTTACTTCACCGAGCGACTATGGTCCCTGGATTTGTACTTCTTCTTGCGACTCCACGACATGTACCGATGGCGTCCAAGTTGTCGGGCAGTACATACATGTAGGTTTGATCAGTGATATTACACTTTGCGTTGCAAAAGATCCGCCAGGATGGGCAACGAAAGGGTGTCGGGAATTGCTTTACAATGTCTGTTGCCGGGGTAACTTTGTTCATCTACGATCAGAGAGGGTTGAACAGTGGTTATATGGATGTATCTGTACCTTACAGGTGAGCAGGATACGCCATCTCACAGTGTCCAAGCTCACCCAATGATAGACTACAGTGTCAGGACACACCGTAAGTCCTTTCAACCCGCTAGAGCATCCTGGCTCTCAGAAGTTGTGGCCAATCAAGCCCCGTAGATGCAGGGCAGGAACAGGCTAAGGAAGGACCTCCGATGTGTTCAAACGCTGTAGGTACAAGATGTACATATCGTCCGACGTTGCATACAGTGCCTGGAGAACCGCCGWATGCCCGTGCATCAGTCTTGCCTCAGGTGAACTCTCCGCCTAGTCTCGAGTTTTGATTGGCACAAAGCACCGCCTCGAGGGTTAGCAAACGGGAGATGCCGTTGCAGGAAGCACTCAAAGCCATTCCAGCGTGCCGCGTGATGGAGTTCCGAATGTTATTGCATACAAAAATAGCCCGAATATCGACCCTTGCAAATCTTGACGCTGATAGATCGAGAGCTGCGTCTCGCACAATTGGCTAGTGGGGAACTTGTATGGGTGGCTGTCACAGCGAATCGTTCTATGCACGTCGGTGACCTGGGGCACTGATGAGGTGAACAAGGGCGTAGGCATGCCGTAGGCCGGATGATCCGCGTGGCTTTGCGGCCTTGGCAAGCTAGTCGTTCCTCCCATCCTTGCCTTGTCTCCCATCCTCTTCCATGATGATGARCTCGGACATCTCGAATTATGGCCCACGCTGTAGGCCACGAGCACGACKACTTCATCATGGTCGAGAAGATGAGCCAGGATCGCTTCCTCGACGACATCGCCAAAAGTGTGGATGAATTGAGCGCAGAGCTGAGAAAGATATCCTTGGAGATCCATGACCACCCAGAGTTGCAGTACAAGGAGTATCATGCACACGAAGTTTTGACGAATTACATGAAAAGTAAAGCTGGCTGGCATGTGACATGTTCGGCATATGGAATAGCAACCGCCTTCGTAAGCAGAGGTGACCCTGATCTTGCAGGCGTCTGGTGGCATCCCTGAAAGCAGCCAGCACCGCATCTACCATGGTCCCGTCTTCACGCCTGCCACTTGGCTGATACTGTCCCTTCCTCAGGTTGCGGTGTATGACGCTGGCTCATCACCGGTCGTCTCGTTCAATAGCGAGTACGATGCTCTCAAGGGAATTGGACATGCGTGCGGACACAATCTCATCGCCATTGCCTCCGTCGCGGGTGCTTTGGCTACCGCCATGACGATGAAGAGACATGGCCTCACGGGCAAAGTGGTCCTGTTTGGCACTGTAAGTCAATTCGGTTCCTCATATACTGAGAGTGCCTGAGATTCTTCTGCCCGCCGTTATTGTTGGAGACTTTGCTAATCGCTTGGATCTTGCGTCTAGCCCGCTGAAGGTTGGTCATAATCAGCTTCGCTCAGATTTGATAGCCTGGCCAAACGCTGACAATGTTAACAAGAGGGAGGAGGTGGCAAAATACGACTGCTAGAGGCGGGCGCATTTCGGGATGTCGACATATCTTTGATTAGCCACCCTGGCATTCAGGCCAATAATTCACTCATGAGGACAGCGGCCTACACCTCCTTTAAAGTGGAGTATCATGGCAAAGAAGCTCATGCTGCTGCTGCTCCGTGGGAAGGCGTCAACGCGCTAGATGCCCTGATAACTGCGTGTATGAGCGATCCACTTCCCTTGAAGCTCGCTTTGCTCACTCTGAATCGACAGATAACGCAATATCGGTTCTGCGGCAACAGACCGCGCCCGGGGACATTATTCAAGGTCGGTCCCGGCCAGGCCGCGCGATGCTACTCACTCGATCGTGCTGATTCATAAAAGGTCATATAACGAATGGAGGTCTACGGCCCAACATCATCCATGCGTATAGTGCTGGCATGTTTGTGGTAAGATCTAGCACCCGTGGTCGGCTTGCTGCGTTGGTGAAAAGGGTCAAGGCCTGTTTCGAGGCCGGCGCGATCGCGACTGGAGCGAAGTTGGAGATTACAGAAAAGATGTCATACCTAGATCACATGCCGGTGGGTACCTGGATTCGTAGTGGTGGATTGGGCAACTCAAGCTAACCATTGCGTAGAACAAGCTTCTGGCATCACGATATCGAGCCGCTTTTAACAAGCTCGGTGGAARCATTCCTGCGGAGGAGGTTGACTGGCTTACGGGTGTGATTGCAGCTTCCACTGATCAGGGCAACATCTCGTACGCTCTACCGAGCRTCAGCCCCAACTTTTGGATTCGAAGTGAGGACAAGGACGGAAATCAGTTGGGAGGGCCGCATACTCCCGACTTCGAAGTTGCTGCCAGAACCGAAGAGTCGCACAGCATCGCTCTCCGCGTTGGCAAGGTAAGTAATCGAAGCGCATGAATCTCTTCGATCGTCACGWGTCTTCGTGTACACGCAAGGTCATCTGATTCTTCAACCCATCTCTGACAAACGCGTTCTATCCTTTCTAGGCTTTGTCCGCTGCTGCCATCGATGTCATATACACACCGGGATTGCTCGAGGACATTCAACGGGAGTTCAAGGAGATGCAAAGTCGATAGGTTCTGTAAGGGTGAGAGAGCCGGCGCGCCGCAATTTGTGATGGACAGCTTTTTCAAAAGACTCAGCCGCATTTGCCATCTTGCTGCACTGCTACGACAGCCTGGCAGATCGCCTGCTGCTAAACCCTCTGAATATCAGAACTCCGGATGACACAATGGCAATCTCTTGCCGCGGTTTGCTCATCATATTTGTGTAGGAGGAGCAGACCCTGGAATATCCTGGACGCCTTTCACTATCTCTGTCCCTACGGATGGCAAGACAGATGAGCAGCAAATTCGAAGTCAACGGACCGAGTCTGAATGTATTGGACCCCTTGACAATGGTTCCACTCAACCCTCTTACGATCTGATTGTGGCAAGGTGTGTGATGCACGCTTACGCACAACACTCTCTGGAAATTGGTCAGGTCTCATCGACTGTTGGCATTCCTCATTATATTGGAAGAATCTGCTGCAGATCGCGTCACACAAYATCACAAATTCTGCTTTGCGAAGGACCACTTCGGTGAATTAATCTAATTCGCGCCATTCTTGGCTGCAGTATCCTTCCCAGCCCACATTCCTCAGATCGTACCGACGTAACACGCTGTGAACCTCGACAAGATCCTGCAAAAAACGAGAGCTGGTGGCAAAGTGGCTGAGTTGACTATTAAGTGACCCCCTAGCGGTAACTTCTGACCTTATAGCGCTGCGATTCCCGACGATTGCGGCGGCGGATCCAAGATTCTAGAATCGCTACCAGTAAACATGATTTTCAGACTGAGCCTTTTCTTCATCGCTGCGGCTGTTATCCAAAGACCTGGGATGAATATCACTGGAAGCGGGATAGCCCAGCCGGGTAGCCAACACCCAGCCCTATCTGTCGCAACAGCGATTCCAACTCTGCCAGTCACAGGCCAACAAGCATTACCCTTGCCGACTACCATGGCGAAAGTGATCATCCCGAGCATCAACATGTTCAAGATCTCATCTCCGAGAATTCAGGCAGCGATGTGCACGCCACACAAAATATGTATGGACTATATCAGCCCATGTGGTCAGAGGTATGGCGGGTAAGTACCGGGCGGTGCGCTTCTGAACTATCATGATTATACATCGCTAATGGTCTACAGCTGCTACGATAGAAACTACTGCGACGGAAACACCTCACCATACCCAATCCCAACATGTATGCCAACCTGAGCCGAGAATTGAATGCTTTTGCAACGCGAAGGAAGTCCTACATGGATGAGTACATGTGGAAAACAGCAACACTAAGGTAACGAGCGTTATTTGTGGATTCGGCGGCGCGGTATTCTCCAAGTCTGAAAACCTGTTGATCTGGATGCTAGATGTTTATGTGTGCAATGGAATGCTCATATGAGCAATATCAAGACAGTTTGATATAACAAAACGTTTTGAATCTAAGTCTGTCAAGATCAACAGATGGCGAGATGAAATCGCCCGCTTCACTGGTGTCTCATGATACAATGACATTCTACTCGCCTGTTGATGATACGCCAGGCTTCGTTGCTTCATCACTTGTCGTTGCTTGAGCTTATTCAAATCGGGAGCTGAGTTTAAGCACGTCAGGTTCCCACATGCATTTGTTGAAATGGGCCTCTTGATCATATAGTCTGTGAGTTGGACCTCCAGTCCATCTTACCCACATTCTACCCCCTATACACAATCTAACAGCATTCTTCACAGATGAAAAGTTGAGCACTGACGTGTAGAGTACGATAAGAGAAATAGACCCCGGTTTCATTTCGTTACACAGCATGCAATCCATGCCGGCAATGCTCAACACATTCACTTTCGGCGATACGTTCAACCTTACTTAATTCATAAGCGTCATCGAAACATATGAGACCATGATCATTATCAATTGCGCTTATTCCGAAGCGATCAATCCCGCCGGGAGTTCCCCAGTTCTGACCAGGGATCAGGTATGGAGAGGTCTGCAGATGAAGACGAGACGTCCGCAAGGGTTCCTTCCGATTATCAGTAAATGCGATATCTTGGAGGATATGGACAATACAGTTGTACGTGAGGCTCACTTTGTTGAGAGACCTGGTATGCCAGCACACAGTGTCGTGGAGACGTGCAAGAGCTTCTATCCAACGGTGAGGCGTTAAAGATACTGTTTCGATGGTCGATCCAATACTGACAATGTTTGGCGGGGAAAGAGGGTGGACTTTTGGCAACCTAGTGGAGCGCTCATCACGAACACGATCTCCGACGGTCCGGATGGTGGACTATACATGACCTTTACGTTTGAGTGGAGACACGAGGGTGYAGTCAAAGGAGGTGACCTCCACGTACAGCTGGCAAAGCAACACTCACAGGGTGCTAGCAAGGCAGTCCGAGGGAGCATCGAAGCCATGCGCCAGATGGCAGCGAGAGGTGAACTGGACTGAGCGTACTGGAATGAAGGAGCAGCTGGGGTAGACTTGAAGCTGGATTTGGAGTTGGGACACTGAACGACTCGCATTTCTAATCCTGATCAACTGGCCGTCAACAACGTCCTGTTTTCACCCTGATGCTTCCCGCTGGTTTACTTGTGCATCTCAACCAATCTAAACAGCTCCCGCCTCCTTGAGCAGAGTTGGAAGCTGGCTCTTCTTGCCCTGCAGCTCAGAGTTGCCACCAATGTGTTTCTTGTTGATGAAGATGTTCGGGACGCTCCTCTGCGAGGTCATGCCCTCCAAAGCATCTTGAATCGCGGCACCGTCGTCGACCTGATCGAGTTCGATGTAGTAGGCCTTGGCGCCCATTTCGGACAGCAGGCTCTTGGTAGCCTTGCAGTATGGGCAGTATGACTTGCTGAAGACGGCTACAATTGCGGGGTGAAGTCAGCTCTCAACTTTCCCGTCGGATGATTGCTTCTTCTGCATACCAACAGCGTTGTCGTCAATGATCGCTTGCGCCTTTGCCTTTGCTGCCATGATTKAATTTGGGCTCGCGGGACGTGCAGAGCTGAAGAGAGATCGTGCGAAGTTGAGAATTTTGGCGGTGTTTTCGGGTGTTTTGGAGGAGAAGAGGTGGTATTTCGCCTAACCGGTTGTTTGGATGATGAGGTGTACTTACTTCACTTTGTCCGTTGTGACGTGCTTGCCTTTCGATTAGTCCTGCCGAACTTGCCGAGCGTGTGCTTTGTCATCAGAGATCCAGCGCAAAGGATTCTTCCGACAAACTTTGAACTTGTAGCGATCATCATCCCTAGGCCCATCTCAACAACCACGATTCCGTTCGCACCTTGGAACAACACCTTGTCGACCATGATCACGATAAATCGCCCGCGAGAATGAACAGCCAGCTTTCCGCCATCATGGCGCGGAGTCCTCAGGCCGACAGGAAGACGTGAGAGGTCTCATCTATTCCACGGCATATAATCGCATATTGGCACCCCGAGGAGATGTTTCCAAGCATATTCTGCGCCAAGTACAACATGCTGCTGTCCGAAGTAGCCATGCGCCAWGTGTGAGACAACAGCGAGCCTAGTCATGGCAGAATGCTTCCGTCACTCCATTGTAGGTCTAGAATCGTCTCTAACTCAATTGTCTGGCCACAAATATCTTTGACCATGCATGCTACTAACGGAACAACCTTCTCCAAGCTTCGACTTGAGCATTCGATTTAATGGCATATTATTGCTGCTCAAACCTCTGGCCAACAAATTGGCATTGATCTGTTAAATCCAGACTTTGTCTCTGCACGGCTTCGAGGCCGTGTGTTCAATCTAGAGAAGCTTCTCGATTTCACACCTTCACTAGGCACGGCTTTTATCGCTGTGTGTTCAATCTAGACTGTGACAGAGCGTCGCCACGTCCATCGTCATGTCGCTGTCAATGGCCTGCCTTCTGTGAACTCTTGGCAAGGCACGCTAGATTATTCCACAAGCCCTGGCGACGTCACTTCAACCAGCGGCCCAAGGCCAGACCCACCTCCTCTCCATGCTTGGCTCGCTGGCATCACGAATCACGACATGAATGCGGGCGATAATGCTCTTGGCCACGTTTTCTGCGCGGTGACTTCACGCTACCTGGTTCCGCTCCGCTCAATGCCAAGAGTCAAGGCGCCGACAGCCGGCCATGAAGGTTGTACGACGGGAGGTCCTCACCATCTCGTTTCCACGGTATTCATCATGCTCAACTGGGATCGGAAGGCGATCCGATCAGAACGCGGCCACGTGTTCAGTATGCACGCCCACCATAGTTTACACTACCTAGGTACTGTACTGGAAAACCCGCGGGGAAAACGATAGAAACGGCGATGCGATGTTCGGTTCAACAGAAGAGCGCCAAGACGAAGCTCATCGGAAGAGGATGCGTGACGCTTGGGTACCAAGACATACCAAGCAAACACTCTCTTGTGGCTGACAGCTCGCATGTCAAAAGAAAAAGGCGCTCCGCGGGACGTATATATATGTATACATTGCATCACCTGAGAGTCGTCAGATAGCTTCCCAGCAATTCACTGCACTTGCACTCGGTACAATCCCTTTGGATGCACAAATTCTTAGCATTCCACAACACCCCCGCTTACCTACCACCTTGAAGTCCCTCTCAATATATGATCAACAACAACCATGGGGAAACAAGATGATGCAGCCCTCGACGCGCACGTCTCGGGACAATCGAACAAGCCACTCACCAAACCAGCGCACGCTCTCGAATGGAAGACTGTTGCGCAAGAATTGAAGGCCGACATAGACGATGGCCTCACTTCATCCGATGCCAGCGAACGGCTCGGCGAGGTTGGGCGCAACGAGCTGGGCGATGCCAAAGGCGTCAACCCCGGCAAGATTCTCACGCGGCAAATTGCCAATGCCATGACAATGGTCCTGATCATTGCAATGGTTGTGTCGTTCGCGATTAAATCCTGGATTGAGGGAGGAGTCGTGGCTGGTGTCATTTTCATCAACATATCAATAGGATTCTACCAAGAATTCCAAGCCGAGAAAACAATGGATTCGCTYCGCTCGCTGAGCTCACCGACTGCTCAAGCCGTTCGTGATGGCAAGTCGGTCACCATCTCCACACAAGAAATTGTTCCCGGTGATCTTGTTGAGCTCAAGACTGGAGACACCATTCCAGCAGATATTCGACTGGTCGAAGCAGTCAATCTTGAAACTGACGAGGCCCTGCTCACCGGCGAGTCTCTTCCAGTGCGCAAAGTTGTCGATGATGTGTACGATCCCGACACCGGGCCTGGCGACCGTCTCAACGTGGCGTACAGCTCTTCTACAGTCACAAAAGGGCGAGCCACTGGTATTGTGTTTGCCACTGGCATGCACACTGAGATCGGATCAATTGCAGCTGCACTTCGCAAGAAAGACAGCCGACGCAGACCTGTCAAGCGCCGCGAGGACGGCACTACGCCTTTCTACCGATATGTTCAGGCGGCCACACTGACCGTCACAGACGGTATTGGCGTCTTCTTGGGCGTCAATGTCGGCACGCCGCTTCAGAAGAAGCTTTCCCGACTCGCGCTGCTCCTCTTCTTCATCGCCATCATTTGTGCCATCATCGTTCTAGCAGCCAACGACTTCCGGAACGATCAGGAGATCATCATTTACGCAGTTGCTACTGGTCTTTCTATGATTCCCGCCTCGCTTGTGGTCATTCTGACTATCACAATGGCCGCCGGCACAAATCGAATGGTCGAACGTAACGTGGTTGTGCGAAACCTCCGGTCTCTCGAAGCTCTAGGCGCCGTTACCGACATTTGCTCGGATAAGACTGGCACATTGACACAGGGCAAGATGGTTGCTAAAAAGGCGTGGGTCCCTGCTAAAGGTACCTACACCATCGGGGATACCGACGAGCCTTTCAACCCGACCAACGGTGATATTCTCTTCTCGGATAAGGAGCCACGCGCCGCAGACTACAAGGACAAGAAGTCTGAATATGGTGAACTTCTCAACAACAGTGATCCTCTGAAAGATTACCTCCGCGTAGCTTCGCTCGCCAACTTGGCCACGGTCCATCAGACGGATTCCGGGGCCTGGAATGCTCGTGGAGACCCGACGGAAATTGCTATTCAAGTCTTCGCTTCTCGTTTCCAGTGGAACCGCAGAGCATCAGTTACCGGCGACAACCCAGCGATGAAGCTGCTCGTCGAGTTCCCCTTCGACTCTGACGTCAAGAAGATGAGTGTAATCTACCGCGACCTCCACAGCAAGAACATGTACGCCTTCACCAAGGGTGCTGTCGAGCGTGTGATTGCCTCGTGCACGACCTACATAGATACTGATGAGAAGTCGGCCGAAATGACCGAAGAGTTCCGTGAAAGAATCCTTGAGAACATGGAAGCCCTCGCCAGTGGTGGTCTGCGTGTTCTTGCCCTGGCTAGCCGCGAGTACAATGAACCTTATCAGGAGGGTCAGGAGGTCGACCGTGCCAGCGTTGAGTCCGACCTCATCTTCCGTGGTCTCATTGGTCTATATGATCCACCTCGTCCCGAATCTGCACCATCCGTCCGACGATGCCATGAAGCCGGAATCGAAGTCCACATGCTCACTGGCGATCATCCAGGCACTGCTCGAGCCATTGCGGCCCAAGWCGGCATCCTCCCATCAAAGATGTCTGAACTCAGCAAGGACGTCGCGGATGCCATGGTCATGACTGCATCTCAATTTGAYAAACTTTCAGAAGCGGAAATCGATGCTCTACCGGTGCTACCTCTTGTCATTGCTCGCTGTGCACCAAACACCAAGGTGCGCATGATCGAGGCACTCCATCGACGGAAAAAGTTCGCGGCCATGACCGGTGACGGAGTCAACGACTCTCCCAGTCTAAAACGTGCTGATGTGGGCATCGCCATGGGCCAAGCTGGATCAGACGTCGCGAAAGACGCATCCGATATCATCCTGACCGACGACAACTTCGCCAGTATCCTCGCGGCTGTGGAAGAAGGGCGCCGGACTTTCGATAACATTCAGAAATTCGTGCTGCATCTTCTGGCCCAAAACGTTGCTCTGGCCATTGTTCTACTTGTCGGTCTCGTTTTCAAGGATGCGGATGAGCTTTCGGTCTTCCCAATTTCTCCCATCGAAATTCTCTGGATTATTATGATTACGAGTGGTATCCCTGATATGGGCCTTGGTTTCCAAGAGAAAGCTCCAGATGTCCTTCAGCGTCCACCTCAGGACCTCAAGCGCGGAATCTTCTCCCTCGAGCTCATGATCGACATGGTTGTGCTTGGAGTCTGGCTCGCCGCTCTCACTTTGGCTGCCTTTGTGCTTGTCCTCTATCCATGGGGAGGTGGTGAAATTGGTTTCCAATGCAATGACTCCGTCCGTGACGGTTGCGAGACCATCTTCCGCGCACGTGCCACCTGCTTTGCCTGCATGACTTGGTTCTCCCTCTTTCTGGCGTGGGAGGTCATCGATATGCGACGCTCCTTCTTCCGCATGCAGCCAAACTCGGACCGTTACTTCACACAGTGGATGCTCGACATCTGGYGCAACAAGTTCCTCTTCTGGGCCGTCTTGGCTGGCTTCGTGCTCATTTTCCCGATCCTTTATATTCCTGTCATCAACGAGGATGTGTTCAGACATACGGGCATATCTTGGGAGTGGGCTATTGTATTCATCGGCTCTGTCCTGTTCTTTCTTGGTGTTGAGGGATGGAAGTGGGCGAAGCGTATTTTCTTCCGCCGTAGAGCGAGCAAGACTCAGGGTGACCCAATTGATGCTCAGACGAGGGCGTTTGAGCGTTACTTGAGCATGGATTCACGCAGCGAGAAGGTTTGAAGGCTGGACGGCTTACGGCTTACGGCTTACGAATGTTTACGCAAGTGCATTGCTCGATATCGGGCGTTTTAGCGAGAACTCTTTAATACAATACAACATCATTCTGCATCATGCTCGGTCACTTTGTATGGTTCTATTGCCTGACATGATTCGATAGTTGCCGATGGTGATGATACCGAGACCTTATGGCCAATACGGACGACCTGATCTAGTCAACCTAACTTACTACTCTGTGTGCGCCCATTGTCATTCGCGATCGCTCGCCTCGCCGAAGGCATTGACTCTCCTGACCGCGTCACATCGGACTAGACACTACTGTAGCGGGGATGAGGGAAGAGATGAGTTGCATTTGTCGCCATTGGGAGAACCTGCTCGCACACATCGCTGATTCGTCTATCTCATCCTTGGTCATACCGATGGGAGACGGCAATCAATCAAATAGACTTCTAATAATAAAAGCTCAAGAGAACATCCCTCACCGTTCCCAACATGCGAACCAAGTTCAGTAGCTGCCATGCGGACTATCGGTGGGTACGAGATCTCGTAGCCCAACAACGTAAGACATCGTCAGTGAAACCAGATGTCAAAAAGTCCAATCAATCTGGGCTTTCGGAGATGTCGAGACCGAAATGACGGTCGACCTCTGTTTGTTTCCATGAATGTAAGAAGTGACGGTTAGAATGGGAAACCCCGGCCGAATGACTCGAGTGATCCAGAGTTCTGTTCTACTTTACTTCGCAGTGACACCTCAACGCTGACGGCGCGAGAAGCGGAGAGGGCGCGTGGCAAAGTATAAGCTGCAGAGAGGGCACGGGAAACGGCAAATCGGTACATGTACAGTTGTAGAACTACAGTAGTTTGGCTGGGTGTGCCAATCATGGAGACACGCCCGCGGCTGGTGAGACTACCTTATGCCTACCCGTCCCAAGATCTTACCTTACCTCGATGTCGTGAGACAATTCCGCAAGGTTGGCCTCGGTCCGACCTCTTGCTAGTATTGAATGGGGCATTCGATGAACAGCTATTGTTCGTGACCGTGGCGTAGAGCAGGGAATTGAACAGTATGATGCTTGTTGTTTCATGCTTGATACAAAAATGTGTGTTTCTTGATATATGTCTGGTCATTGGTAAGTAGATCACTTGCTACTGTGTTAGGCTTTGATCTTGGTCTTGGAAACGCTTCCGTTGAGCCCAATGCCGAGAAGAAAGKCTATTCGCATCGCAGCTCCCACGTACACGAAGCCGATGTTTCCCCAATAAATGGCATTCCACGTCCAGGGCTGGTAGAAGATCTCCCAACCAATGTAATGGCACGACCAGAGATGTCCCATATCCGCCACCAAAAGACCCAGCAAGAATACACGCCAGACAGCTCTGTCAGTAGTGGCGCGTAGAACGCAGGCCTCGGAAAAGGCAAAGACCRGATAGAGATTGGCCTTGCTTGCCGCGTCAGCAACAAGAAGTGAGAGGGAAAAGAAACAAAGAGCCGGGTGACCTACTAGCTGCGTCAAAACTATGTCTTCTCTAAGAGTGACGGCAGAGTACGAAGTGGCATGCGATTGACCAATCGAGCTGCCGRGGGTAAGATCCATATATTCCTGCTTCTGGAAATGCGAGTAATAGGCGCCGACTGCGGTGGAGACGGGTTCGATGTAGAGAAAGAAGGCGGAGTAGAGGAGCGGTAGCGGCGCCACCGAGGGCTTTGTTGCTGGAGCCATTTCGCTCCAAGCTGAGACCGGTCCCAGAGACGGAAGGGGGAAAGGCGGTCTGCTGCAGAGGTGTGGCAGCAGCTCGTGCAATGTTCGGGTAGCGGCAGGGTGTTGGTGGATTAGACAAGGCGTGTTCTCGGCGAACGAATTCTGAGATGTTCCTTCCCTTGGAGTGCCTGGGCAAGCGAGTCGGGGAGGTTTGATGCGGAGATGGAGAGGGATGGACATGTTCAAATGGATCGCCGTCACACGGCTCCTTTTAGCCTTCTTCACTGTTTCGCATCAAGTCTAGGTCTTACTGCCTTTACCTTTTTGTTTCTCTCGGTAGTGAAAGGGTACCACGGCCTGCATTTGCACGTTGACGATGAACACCTCAAGCCAGACCATCCTCCTCCGATTCGTCATGCGGACCACGCAGTAGACAGACCGCCGCWAAACATATACAACACCGCCGGCCGCCAGCGACTCCGGCTGTCCCTTGCCATACATAATCACCACTCTCACTATCGTTCAACACGCCACCCACGCTCTCTCTGCCCCTCGACGTTTACGCCTCACACCCTCCGTCCGCAACTGCTCAATCGAAAACTCCACATTCCCTCCAAATATTGCATCTTGTGCTGTCATCCCAGCACGCCGTGTCTTGCCCCGAGATTGACGGCTGAGTCGTCGAATTCCGGCCAATAACCGCCGCGCATTGACGGCGAGGAGCGAAACGGTCCCCGGCCACACCTCGATCGCTGTCAGCCTTCCTCGCTCTCACCCMCAGCCCACCTCCTGACGTCTCGCGGACGGTCGGACGGGTCCCAAGACAATAGGCAGTGGATCACGATCAATCAACACTCCACTCTCTTCGCCATGCTCGTCCCCATTGACGCTCATTGTTTCCCGCGCCCGCACACCGTACACGCATCCACCGCATTTTCGTCCCAGCCTGCATCTTCCCTGTTTGCATCCCCCTCCTCCTCCACCGTCGACGACGACACGTCCACATCATCCGACAGCGCCCTCACCCCCCTCGGCTCCGACTTCAACGATGGCAGCGTGAGTCCGCGAGGCACGTCCCGAAGAATGTCCCGTGACGACACCGCAACCGACCTACACGTGCTGGCTGCTTCTGCGCCATCGTACACTCATCCTACCGACAGGCCGGCGGAGCAAGCGCGCGCCCCACGCGTCAGGAAATCGAGGCCACGCATTTCCAGCCAATGCGCTTTCATCAACGGTACCACTATTGAACGTGAACCTGGCGAGTCCGCCATCGCTGCCGTCAACCGCATCTGCTCCAAGGAGTACAAGGAAAGCATCCGCAAGCTGCGCGAGCTTGGGAACCGAAGACCCACGGACAAGACATCGGACAAAGCTCCATCTGTGAGGAGTGGTCGCTCCAACACAGTCAGTACCGTCATGCCGGAGGCTGAGCAATGTGTGGATCCAATGTGCCTCGACCTCGAGAATGAACGCAAGCCACCTACATCGCCTTCCAAAAGGGCGGCCAAGCAGGTCGACGACCGTCCGAGAAAGCAACGCTTCCTGTCGACGGTTACCGACGAAATACGGAAAGACACTCCTGCTCCCAGTGGATTTGGTGGTCTGCCTGTCCGCCCCGCTAGCGGCAAGAGTACTCCTCTAGCCGGTCACTCCGGAGGTGATGGTGCGAGGAGGGCTGCTCATCTTCACAACAACAAATCTGTCGCACCGCAACAGCAGTCAGCATTCTGTGACTGGCCTACAGCATCCAGTGATGTCTATCCGGGGCGACGTCGTGTCGGCTCCATCAGCAGCAGTGCTGCAGACAGCGCCGCGGACCTGTCATGCGGCTCCGACACCATGTCTACTCGCGACTACGACGGCGATCTGAACATGGAAGAGGCTGACCCAGCGCCGTCTCGCGACTTCGCTGTCAAGCTCCCTCCAGAGATTGCCCTCTCAATCTTCGAGCATCTTGATGCACGCGATCTCCTTGAAGCTGAAAAAGTCAGTCCCAAGTGGAACGCTATGGCACGGGATACACAAGTATGGCGCACCGTTTTTCTTCGCAGATACCAGCGGCAGATCTTGACAACACCGGCACCGATTCAGGTCGGTGGAGCTGGGCTTGGAAGACCTAACAGAAAGAACCAAGAGTGGCGGAAGATGTACAAGGCTCGAGTGGATCTGGAAGAGAACTGGCGTGCGGGCTCCGAAAATGCTGGCAAGGCCGTGTACCYTTCGGGACACACCGATAGTGTTTACTGTGTGCAATTCGACGAGGAGAAGATCATCACAGGCTCTCGTGATCGCACCATTCGTGTCTGGGATATCAATACCTACCAGTGCCTCAAAGTCATCGGAGGTCCCAACACCAAACCGATAGCCGGCCCCAAGGTATTGCGAACAGTCGACTATCCTGCATTCCACATGGCGACTGCTAGTGTGAATGGTACCGCCTACGGCGACAGTATCTACCATGTTCCGACCGAATGGCATGATGCAAGCATCTTGTGTCTTCAATACGATGACAAGATCTTGGTCACCGGCTCTTCAGACTCGGATCTGCTCATCTGGGATATCAAAACCTACCAGCCCATCAAGCGGTTACGAAAGCACACCGGGGGTGTTCTGGATGTGGCTCTTGATGCAAAGCACATCGTCTCGTGCTCAAAAGATTCACGAATCATCGTGTGGGATCGCGAGACTCTCCAGCCCAAGGGCGATCTGACCGGACATAGGGGTCCCGTCAACGCAGTGCAGCTTCGCGGACACTTGCTCGTGAGCGCCAGTGGCGATGGAATTGCAAGGCTGTGGGACCTCAACAAGATGAAGCTGATCAAAGAATTCAGCGCCAAAGAGCGGGGCCTGGCCGCTGTGGAGTTCTCCGAAGACATGAAGTATGTGCTCGCCGGCGGCAACGACAACATCACGTACAAGTTCGAGACCGACACTGGACGAGAAGTCATGCAATTCACTGGCCACTCCCAGCTTGTTCGCTCACTCTGGCTGGACAGCGCCAACGATCGTGTGGTATCTGGCAGCTACGATCTAGATCTTCGCGTCTATGATTTCGTCTCTGGAGAGGAGTTATGGCGCGGCGAGGAGTGGACCACAAGCTGGATGCTGGCTGCCAAGTCGGACTACCGTCGAATCGTGGCGACCAGTCAGGACGGTCGTATACTTCTTGTCGACTTCGGCATTTACAAAGGCGCTCCAAATTACAACTCCCGAGATGGTAGCACGATTGRAAATTTGAGCCTGCTTCGTGGTACCGACCACACCACAGAGGTAGTCTGGCGTACACCTCAGTGGCGGAAATAGTGATGCACCGTGCTGGACCAGTACGTCAAGGAGCGACGTCCGACACTGTCTAAACGTTACTTCCAACGGAACATCACCATCATCGTGCCAAACCTCTATGTCACTAGTGACGGGTTTGCGGTGGCATTTCACGGTAAAAGGAGGGAAGGTCAGGTCGCTCGTACAATTTAGCTGCGATTGTGGAGGCGAAGACGAGATCAACACTCGTAAGACATGTCGGGTACGGAAGAGTAATATCCAACACGATGGAAATGCGTGAATGGCATGGGAAATGGGACTGGAATATGGGAATGGGAATCGGAATCGGAATGGGAATGGGAATGGGAACAGTTTTGATCGTTCGAGCGTGGCGTTGTAAATACTATCTTTTCCGTCGTGCCCTTGGGGCGGTAGACCACTATCATTATTTTAGCCATCGAAAAAGCCTCCGGGCAACTTTCTATCCTTCATCAGAGAATGCAGATTGTTCAATATTAAATCAGCAGGCTAGGACTCTCTTTGACAAAGGTACTTACGCCATCGCCGTCTCGTATCGTGATTGCCCACTAACAATCACTCTACTCCTACGCGAGCGAGCTGACGACGCGATGCGATGTACCTGCCAAGCATCGAAGCCGTCCTCCTGCGAACAACGACCGTCCTCTGTAATAATGATGATGCCACTTTGTTATCTTGATGGGCGTACACTAGCGAGCCAAAAGGATAGCGCCCGTGCGAGTCTACAGTAGACATCCATGCGATCCTAGTCACCCATGTCGCGCTTATTCTGAGCCAACACAAACGCTCGAGTACATTTCGACGTTATCTAACACGAACGTGCTAGAGCACCCGGCCTCATCACCGTACGACGATGTTCCAGCAACCTCCATTCCTCGGCTCTCCATTCATGTCTTCCCAATTATATTACACCTCCATTGGTCGCCGCATCCTTGGCTCGCATGCGGGATTGCGTGCGAGCCTAGCAGAGGTCACACAGTATGGGGCACAGAGCCTGGCTCCTTCCTATAGGAGCAGCACGTCGAAGATCAGGCCGGCGATATGCGAGACTAGGTAGCATCTCCGAGTCCGCTGCCATACTGACTGGTCACGCCTAGGCGGAGTTTACCTTGGCGCCCAGCGTATTCAAGTCTTGACCTTCTTCTCTGGGACCAGCTGGACGCTTGTTTCCTCCTCCGGCGCTCGCTATCACTCTCAGCATGGGAACTTCAGATTTTTGGGGCCTATCGGTAGGCGCAACAGGATTTTGGGACCTTCAATGGCCAATTAGACGGAGGCGTTCCCAGTAGTAGGTGGTGGGCGGCGGCATGTGAGGCAAAATTTTGACGGACCTCCTGTGTACATATATTAATGGCTTCTGCCTGCCCATCAAGGTTGGTGGACTAGTCTTCATCTCATCGKGTTGCTAACATGTTGTGGTCCTCTCTTTTCTTGGCGGCTTTGGCTGCTGGCGGTAATGCACAAGAGGAGCAGGTTAGTGCTTCTGCATTGGCATCCGCCGAACGCACTGGCGGCTCGATYTTGCAGAAGCTCTACTCTTTGAAGCTACAGGCCTCCATTAAAGAGTCTGCTCTCAAGAAGAAAGCGAAGGAGCTGGAGAAGGCGGCTTATAGCACACCTGAGCGAAACCGTGTGTTTGGCTCTCCAGGGTGAGGATCCCCAGTGGCATCGATAGGTCCAGGTCCGCTAACGTCGTATTCTTCGCGGCTTAGGCATGAAAACACACTGCAGTTCATTGAAGGCTATCTCAAGCAAGCTGGAGACTACTGGACCTACAAGAGACAGGAGTTCACTGAGCTGTATGCCGAGGGCTCTGGTAGCTTCACCGTGGGAGACATCGACTATGACCTTGGCGTTTTCACCTACTCCACGTCAACATCAGAGGAGGGTGTGACTGCTCCCATCGTCGCGGTAGCGAACATAGGCTGTGATGCAGCGGACTACCCAGCAGAAGTGAGCGGCGCCATTGCTCTCATCTCCCGTGGGACTTGTCCATTCGCAGACAAAGCCACCCTTGCTAAAGCTGCTGGCGCCGTCGGAGCTGTGATCTACAACAACATCGAAGGAACCATTGCTGGTACACTCGGAGGAGCCGGAGACTACGCCCCTACTGGAGGTATTTCGTTGGCAAACGGGACCGCTATTCGTGACGCTCTCCCTCTTGATGGCACTCTCCAAATCACCAGTGTGGTTGAAAACCGCACGACATACAACATCGTAAGTTCCACGGGGATGGAAGGCCTGCAAAGTAGCTCGAAAATGACACTCGAACTTCGCTGTGCCTGTCTACATTCACTTCGATCAGGACATTGCTGACTCATTTCTTCACTCTTAGATTGCTGACAGCAAGTTTGGCGACAAGAACAATGTTGTTGTCGTCGGTGCACACTCGGACTCCGTGCAGGCTGGGCCTGGAATCAACGATGATGGAAGTGGCACTATCGGTATTCTTGAGACTGCGATGCAGCTGTCCAAGTACAAGTACCGCCTCAAGAACGCTCTCCGTGTTTGCTTCTGGTCTGCCGAAGAATTCGGCCTACTAGGATCGGAGTACTATGTGGCCTCCTTATCGGAAGAAGAGAGGGACAAGATCAGACTTTACCTCAACTTCGACATGATCGCCAGCCCCAACTGGCAGTACGCACTCTACGATGGCGATGGTTCCAAGTTCAACCTTACTGGACCTCCTGGATCTGACAACATCGAGCACTTCTTCCAGGACTACTTCAGAGCCAAGAACATCCCGACCAAGGATTCTGAATTCAACGGAAGATCCGACTATGGTCCATTCATCGCAGAAGGGGTGAACATTCCTGCTGGTGGTATCTTCACCGGTGCTGAGGCCATCAAGACCGAGGAAGAGGCTGCCTGGTGGGGAGGTGAGGCTGGAGTGGCATACGATGTCAACTACCATCTCGTGGGTGACGACTATAACAACCTGGCTTGGCAACCTTTCCTCTTAAACACAAAAGCGATCGCGGCTTCAGTCATCAGGTACACCATGGATCTCTCGGGAATCCCACGTAGGAATTCTGGCGGCAAGATCAAGACTAGAGGCAAAGACCTGCACCCGCACGCGAAGAAGAACGCGGTGCATAGCCACTCTCACCAGCCCGGTCTGCAGTGTGGCTCTGAGCCAAAGGAATCGATCTAGTGTTCATGATGAGAAATGTGAAAATGACAGTTAGGAGCGGCTAGAGTTCCTTCGATACCATAATAACAGATCAAATGCCATGAAGCTTCGTATTTACACGTTGTCACTTGACGTCCATGTATCGGCATTGTTCTCAGTGGTCCTTTGGTGACAATGCCGCACCATGCGTCTTTTGAAATGCATGACTTCTAAATCTTTGCAACTACGAGACAACAGCCCGCCTTCAACATCGGCGTAGCAGAACCACGACAGAACCATAGGAGATATAGAGACCCATCGTCTTTATTATACCAATATCGTGCGTTGAGATGTTCACAAACATTTGAACGTGTGAAGCACATTTACACTACCCCAACCCTAACCCTAGCATTTGAGCTGGCCCTTCCTTCTACATGCGCTCTCATACACCAAAGCGCGGCTGGCGCAGAAGGTATTTCTATTTCAAGGAGCACGAATCATCACGCGCTACAAGTCTTTCCAAATTCCGCGGTAAATCTATCCATGTCTTTGAGTGGCTCGGTTCGGGTTCACGCCAGTGGAGGTCCCTCGTAGGCTACGTAGGCTACGTAGGCTACAGCTCGACTAATATTAGAATGTAACGGCGACCACATTCGTTGCCTATGCATTGCTAAAAAGGCAGTTATGTGAATATTCAACTCTGTTGGCAACATGATGGCAGCGTCGATGGCATTGATGGTCAATATGCAAATGTTGGCGTTGCCGGTATTGATGGCATCAAAAAAATAATGGCATCGACGGTCTACATTTACTAGGGTATTGGGATTGATAATGGTATCGCGGTATCAACGCTATCAAGATGATGGCATCGATGGCATCAATGGTATCAACGTCAAGGGTTGATGGCATCGACGGTATGAAAGCTATGAAAGCGACGGCATTGATAGCGTTAACGCTATTAAAATCAATGGCATCGATGGCATCGATGGCATCAACGCGATGGCATCAACGCGATGGCATCAACGCGATGGCATCAACGCGATGGCATCAACGCGATGGCATCAACGCGATGGCATCA